TTTTTTTTTTTTGAGATGAAGGAACCATTTTTTTTGCAAGGATACTTTGCACAAACATGCTAATGAGTCTATATTTTGCAGTTTTTTTTTTTTACTATTATAAATAACTTTTAATATATATATTTGTTTTCATCCTAAATGCAACTATTTTATTATATTTTAGATTTGTGATTTTGGATTAGCCCGTGTAGCAGATCCAGATCATGACCACACAGGTCTTTTAACTGAATATGTTGCTACTCGATGGTATAGAGCACCAGAAATTATGTTGAATAGTAAAGGTTATACAAAGTCAAGTATCCTTTCATAAAAAGATTAAGAAATACGTTCTGAATTGGAATTAAGTATACTTAATTAATATTAGAACATTGTTGCAATAATATTTTCGTATAAGTATGTGAAAGTATTATTGTCATGGCAGAATATTAAATGATTTGACATTAATGCTAAATGACTTGACATAAGGGCTGTTTGAATATTATGCAAGCATATTTTTAGCAATTTGGAGGCACACTCCTTGTCAGCCAAAAAAAATAAGCAAATTTCATACCTCCCCACCTTTATTTGCTTTAGTTTGGACTTTTATTTAAGTAATCTAATTTTATTATCAAATTCAAATGAGAGAAGTAGCTTAGTATTAAACAAAATTGTTTTCATCCATTTTATAAAATTTTAAAATATCAGTGAAGAAATTTTTTCCAATATTTTCATTTCCCGAAAAAATTTTTTTATTTCAAATTAAAAAATAATAATAATTTTTTTTTAGAAATTTTAATTACATATTCTTGGTTGCATATTCACAACCTCTTCCCTCCTTATGTGCTTACGTAATATTTTAATGATCTCACATACATATTAATCGCTTCTTGGATGAAAAAACTTAAAAATTTTTATTTATTATTTTTTTTTTTACTTTATCATGGCAAAACCCCTCAGTATTTCAATATTCTTTGTTTTCAAAAGCTTGCATATGTAGCTGACATCTTTATTTAATGAAGTTCAGTTAAATTATTCATTCATTACATTAAGTTAAATTATTCATTACATTCTCCTAAATATGCCAGAGGATGGCACATTGACAACTGGTATATGTACAAATATTGAATAATTATTTGTTTTTTCAGTGAACATGTCTAGAGCTTTTAGTTTCAAACCCTAATCTATTCATTTGGAGAAATTTATGTAACAAAAAATTTCACTTAGCTAGTCTTATATATTTGTGTCTCAATTGCTATTGAACTAGGATACGTTTTATTAGCACTAGAAAGACTGAAACTTAGTATATACCTATATTGCCCAAAAGCAGTCAAAATGACTGAATTGTGAAAGCATATCTAATGTGTAACGAAATTTGTTTAATATTTTTTACAGTTATATAACTAGTTATTAGTAAATACAGTCAAACCCCGCTATAGTGAACCTTCAAGGGACCGAAAATTCGGTTCACTATAACCGATATTTCACTATATCCGTTACTCAGGCAATTTATCTAATGGTTCCCAAACTCCTCCCTCTTATTACACATTATTCAAATAAATGACTGAAAAATATTATGTAGTAGCAAAAAACTTGTTATTTTTCGTTACTCTTCGTCTTGCGTGCAATTTTCAGCTGACGAGCAATCCTTAACATCATATATGGAAACACTTCCTGACCCTCAGATAATTTTTCCTGAATTTCTGTTATTCCGTTTTTTAAACATGCCTAACCTGCCATTCGAGCACATAATAGTAGTCTCATAAAATGACTTGGAAAATTCATCGACATTTGTCCAGATGCTGGAAGATTGCAGCTTCTTCTAATGCTGAACCACTTCAGTAATGCTTCTTCAACCTTTTTGTGATCTGCTTTTCTAAACTTTTTTTCAGCCTTCTAAATTTTTTTCATGAGCAGAAATTATTAATTGCTTATTTTTCTACATGTTACAAACTGCAGTTTTGGATAGTTTACATTCCCTGCAAATATCAAGTTGATTGTATTCATTTTCAATTTTTCTGATTATGCCCATTTTATCATCAATGGAGAACGTTTTACTTTTACTGGTCACCATAGTTAAATTTGAGACACTTTTTTGCAGACTTTTTTTAACTGAACTGAAAGCAAAAAGGAGTTGAAATGAGGGCCTTATTAACACATATTAGTGTCCAACCCTTTGACCAATAGCGAAGAATTACTCATTCCCTCTGACAGAAAATGCATATTGATCTCACTGACACCTTACAGGTGCATCTTCTGCCTGGTTTGGAAACATCTGCTTGGTTTGTTTAGGGATGGGAAAGTGAGCAAACAAGAAAAAATGCTTATCGCTACATTCCCCTCTATAGATGGTTTTAAATATTGGTATTTGTATTTATTTTGAAGTAGAAATTTCAAAATTATTACCATAAAAAATGAAAAAAATCTGTCGAGGACAGAAAAAAGTTCATTATATCCAACTTCCTCACTTTTTTGGTTCACTATATCCACAAAAAATAACATTATACGTATATAGCAAGGCACGGAGCCGAACATTTCGTTCACTATATCCTGGAGTTCACTATAAACCGTGTTCACTATAGGGGGGTTTGACTGTATTAACAATAAAAAAAATTTTATGTTCTACAAAAAGTCATTCAAAATTCTAAGAAATTGTGTCATTTGTTTTTCTAATTGAAATTAAAAAGCAATCTAAATGACTTCCTTGTGCAATCTAGTGTTAAATAATAAAAATTATAAATTAAAAAAGGCCATTCTATTCTATTTAGTGAAAGCACTCTCATTTGCGATGGTGTCATGTACATAAACAATACTTTATTTTTAATTCATATATTTTGAAATTTGATTCTTTTAAAATACATTTTGATCAAAGAAAAAAACAATTCTTCCTTTAATTACTAATCAATTCTATCTAGCAAAACTGTCGACGTGTAGAGAAATGTGATTTTTTTTTTTTTGAGAAATTAAGTCTGCTGTTTTTAAAAGTTTAGTTTCGAGAAAACTTTTCTGATTTTGAAACTGAAGGCTTCATATGTAATCCATATTTTTTTTTCATTGAATGATTATTTCTGAAAATGAGTGTACTTGTGTCGTAATTATTGTTTTTCTTTTTTGCTGGCAAGTTAACTTAATTAATTTTTTTTTGTGTGAAATATTGTAATATAGACTTTTGATTGACATTCAAAATGTTTTGTTAAATTATTTTTAGTAGTTGAGCATCTGCATGACTGTTTGCTTTAGTAAGATCATATCTGTTTTTTATATGCGAACGCAACTTTCTATGCCTTTCTAGTGCTATCAGTGGTTAACCGGCTATTTTAAATTCTTAGAGCTTCAACTGTCTCAAAATTTGAAAAAAGACTTTAGAAACCAAACTAATTCAAAAGAATTAAATCTATGACAGTGATTACAACTCTTGAAATTAGCCATTTTAACAGATCTTACGAAATTTGATTTTGCAGTGAAAAAGTTTTTTTTTAATAATATGTACCACATATTTTACTTTTTTTTCTCTTTTGTATGTGCGTAAAACTAGCTTGGCACTTCTGAAATATTAAAGCAATACAAATTATCATCAAGCAATGTTTTATTAGTAATTAAAATGGACTTTTCCATGCAAACACATGTATCAGTCTCATTAGAACAAATACAATAGATAACTTTGCATATCTTAAGAAATGTATAATTTTAAGTGTGTTTTCTTATGACCAGCAAGGACTTAAATACTTGATTTGTATTAAAATTTTTAGGCTTGGAAATGTTACTAACTGAATGAGCAACTTGGTATATCTTGAAATTGATTTAAATAGCCCTGAAAAATTTTATTTTCAATCTTTTCTATCATGCTCTTTATATTTGATCTCTCTCTCATATTTCTTTTTTTTAGATTTTTTTTTAAAAAAGAAAAGAAATTAAATGCTTACAGGCACAATTTTTATTTTTAAATGCAACTTTAAAGTTTGCTCTAAATTAGTGATCAACAAAGTTATGAAAGCCTTTGAGCTACTGTACTGTGAGATACCAATTAAATGAATTACCAATATTTCAAAAGAAAAAATCTTACACTTGGTTTATTGCCTATAAACTTATATTTCTAAAATCAATTATAATTAAATTAAGAGATTTTTTTTTATTGACCATCATAGTAGCCCACGATTGATGGTTTGACAATCACTGTAAAGTTAACACTTAAAGAAGATTTAAATTGGTTTTTGATTTAGGAACTTGTAATGTATTAATGTTTTTCCCTATAATTTTATCTTCTCCTTTTTCAATTATAATATGAAAAATTTTTTACAATGCTTTCTGAAACAATAAAACATATTTTTTGTATATTGTATGCTAATGTAATATAGGTCCAAAGAATATTTTTTGGAGGCAAAAATCGTGTAAAAATTTGTAGAAAAAAGTTCTATGTTTCAATGTACCTATTTTTAATCTAAACATGCTTAGTAAGATTTTTTTACAGACTACTGTTAGTAAGTTGAAATGCTGAAACAGATTTCTACAATTTATATTCCCTATACTTTTGCTTTTGGCTGTGTAAAAATATTTTTCTTTTAATATGTTGTTAAAAATATTTTATATTCTGTTTAAATTGTTGTCATTGTAATTTCACATTTATGTAATTTAATATTTTTATAGCTTTATTCATATTTAAATGCTTACAATAGTAATAAAAATTCTAGGAAGAAAGAAGATTCAAGAATGTTCAATAAATTTAGAAAATGTTTTTTTTTTTTAATAGAATGTATAGAAACATCAGAAAACAGGTATAAAAAAATTTTTTTTGGAGCAAATGTATTTAAAAACTTAAAGCGTTTTATCTCTTCAAACCCAAAAAATCATAAGTTTTTAAAATGTCTATTAAACTTTTTTTAAATTTAACTCATGAATTATTTTTTTTATAAAATTTATATTAATTAATTAAAAGAAATTGTTTTAAGTGTCCTTGAATGTTGCTGCAGGCTAACAAAGATTTTTCACCATCATTTGAAAGGTGCTTTCATTTAAGTACAGGGTGAAAAGCTGCTATATATATATA